GGGGTTCTGCGGGCGGGGAACGCTGGCGAGGGGCAGCGGCGGCTTCAGCATCGCCCCGGGAGGCGGGAGCAGAGCCCGGGAAGCCTCGCTGGTCCTGCCGCGGCCGGGCGGCACCGCGGGAGCTGGGACGGGAGGGATGGAGGGAGGAGGACGCCGCTGTCGCCGCTCTGGAGCTGAATAGCTGCTTCTCCCACAGCCCGGRCACGGCTGCACAGCCCCTTATCCCRYAGCTGGGCTCCTCGGCCGCGCTGATGGCCATGGATTCAGCGGTGCGGATAGGAATAGCCAGCAGGAATTGCCCAGGCTCCATCCCCACACCTGCTAAGCCATTTGAAAATGCCAACCTGAGCTTTTTTGCCCTGTCCTTTGACGGAATCTTTCATTGCGCTGTATTTCTACCCCAAGAAGAAGTTAATATATATTACTTGACATGTTCTGTATAAATAATTAGCATAGGCTTTGTTCTATGCTAATTATTTATACAGTGTCGCGTGTTGAAGATGTCAGCTGGGAAAYGCAGCACAGCAAGAAGAAAGGTTGGAGTCTGTCCTGGCTGGTGCATGGCCCTGACCCTGGAAATASATTGATTATTTATCACAGGGCCTGGTCCTGAGCCATGGGGAGCACTCASATCCTCTGCAGTGCTGTCACTGAGCAAAGCAGGAGCTGCAGCCCCGAGGAGCCCCTGGATGGTTCCCTGGGGAGAGGAGGGATCTTCCCACTCCTCCAGCTTATTCACTGGATATTGACCACATGAATAAGCTGGAGGGATCAAAAGCATCTTCCTCTCAGGATCTGTCATAGGAGTATTGATCTTTAAATGCAATTTCAGAACTGTTTTAAGTGTAGCCATGGTAAGGTGATCTGAGGAAAAAGGCACAGTTGACAACCTGTGGAGGAGATGTTATGCGAGGAATAGGTGGTGAAACTGAGCTTCTTGGGAACAGGAAGGAAGGCTCTATCATCCAAGGACCTGCTGGCTTRGGAGGCAGAGGCTTTGGGCATTGTGTGAACCACTGGAGTTTTTTGRAATGGAGGARTTTTGCTGAGAGTTCARCTCCACTGACGGCAGTAAAAMCAATGGTCTGAGTGTGGGTTGCCTKTGCAAGCAAGAACACTGCTGTAATTAGTTGGAGCACRATGCCAGGTCTCCTCTGACCATGTATCAGAATATTTGATACTGCTTCAAATGCTGCCAGCCTGCAAAAGAGCTCTTGGTGCTGGTCACATCACCTGGATTTGTTAGAGAATTACTAATGTCCTCAAGGGAGGTGAGCTAGAAAAGGGAAAGGAGGGGAGAGTTGTAGAAGATGAAGATGGAGGGTTTTTGTGTTCATTGTATCTGTTTCCTGCTTTATCTCTGTGTTGTGTTTCAGGCGTGTGAATCAGGATTATCTGCAGGAATTTGTCCTGAGAAAACTCCAGGTGAGGAATGAAGGAACATCCCTCCCTGCATTGTTTGAGGATAGGGACAGTCAACAATAATGTTTTCAAAAGATATCCAGATTAGATAAATGCAACTCAGAGGTGATTGTGTTTCTTGCTTAGGAGCTGCTGCCTTAGTGGGTTGGSAGAGGGGGTGTTTTGAAAGGATGAGCCACATGTGTGGGCTTGGTTCACAACACTGTGCAGCCTGTGGGACTGACTGAGCCTGAGTGGGCCAGCATGTGTTGTGGCTCCATGTACAAGTCAAGTCCCACACAGCCCTTGCTGACTGCATTTTAATCAGAATTTGAAACATTTTCTTTCACTGAAGAACAGACCTGGACAGGATCTCAAGAGGTCACCTATTCTTATCTCCTGGTTCAAAGGCAGAATTATTWATGTCCACACCCCATCCCAGGCCAGTGCTTATCTGGTATGCTCTTCTGAATCACCAGTGGCAGGGATTCCACAGTCTCACTGTTCCAGTGRTTGGCAGTCTGTGCAGTTGGAAATGTCTTAAACTTCAAAATAACATTCWCTTCAGCTGAATGAAAACAAAATAATTATGTCTTGTAATTTGTATACCACTCTTTTCAGTATGTCACCAGGTGATATTTGCCTTTTACATGCAATGGTATTGAGTTATTGATTCTCAAATTTATCAGCTATAACTTTGCTGGAATTACACCCCAAGTTTGCCATCCTTCTGGACTGGGACACATCTGCAGATGGTAACAATCTCCTCCCAGGCTGAGAAATGCAGAGCCTGCTTTGGAGATGATTTCTAGGAGGCAAACTCAGCATGCGAACAGCTGCCAGCCAAGCTTTAGTGGTACAGAGAATTGTACCTATCAGTGAGCAGTGCTGATCCAGGGAATGCACACCGGGATCATCCAGGTCAGGAAAACCGAGTAGGGCAGTAATCACAGCTGAGTGTGATGGCATCTCAGACTAATTGGATTTCCCTTTGGGGACTTTCTGAGGCTTACTCCAGCAATTCTGGCAGGAGAGCTCTCCCTCATTATAAAAAGCCATTACTCATTCATAGAATGAATTGACAATTCCATTAGCAAAAGGTGAAGGCAGGAAGAAGAGATGGTCTCATGGCTGAGATGCTTGGGACCCAGGAGATGAATATTTAACTCTGCCACAAACTACCTGTGTGACTGTTTTAGTGCAACCAGCCACTAAAGCCACACTTAAATTTATACACATAACTCATTCCTCTGTCTTCAACAGACCTACTTCTGTGTGGTTAAAGTAGCTGGGTTTGTACAGCATCTAAAGCAACAAGGCTGTGACCACATAGATAATATAAGTAAAAATTAACAGTAATAACCTTCCATGTATGATCAACTCCGGGAAGAAATGTATTCTTGATTATTAAACTTCTCCCTTATTGTTTCATGAACATGGTTCATATTTCGTTTGTCTGCTCCTCACCCACAAATAATAGCCTAACACCAGCAGTTGAGGACTGTTTTTGTAGGAAGGTGACAAAAGATAAACATCCAAATTAAACACAGCTTTCATTTTCCTGTATGTTGTTGGGGGCAGTCTGTCATTTTTGGATAACACGAAGCGAATGCCAGAAAGGATGATGCAAAAAATTGCTCTGTATTTTCCCCCTTGCAGTAACCAGCCTTCTTGAGAGCAGTAGAGGAGAAGGGTGCACTGACAATGGCTGCAGAGTTGGATTTCTCCCCACCTGAAATYCCTGAGCCCACATTCATGGAGAATGTGCTACGCTATGGACTCTTCTTTGGAGCCATTTTCCAGCTGATCTGTGTGCTCGCCATAATCCTGCCCGTGTCAAAGTCCCACAAGACAGTGAGTGCTGCTCTTTAATATTGATACAGATGGGCAGAGACAGAGAAAACAGGGTGGGAGGGAATGTTGAGTAGCTAATGGAGACACARCTGCCCCTGGGATTGATGACAGTTTCATTGCTTGTTCTCTTTCCGTCCCTCTGGCTCTCCCACCCCCAGCTTTTGTCTTGTGATTTACCACCAGATAGGAAAGTCAGGAACAAATACCTGAGCCAGGGTCTTTCTGAATATAAGTGAAAAAAGCAACCTGAAGCACTGACAAGGTGCTAAATGCATGTGCTGTTCCTGGCTGCAATGGAAGGTTTTGTCCCAACCCATATCGTCATCCTGCTGCTGATTTGCTTCATTAATTGCCAGGCAGGGCATCCCCTTTGCAGGACCTGCCTTTCAAGAAATTACTCTGGGCTCTAGTTTGTGTGTGATTTTTGGAAGCAAGATGCAGGTGAAATTTCTACTRTATCCTAAAGGTGAGGAAAACAGTTTTCAGGACTGACATCCTGTCCAGATCCCAAGGGTCCTTTGATGCAGTTGGCATAGGAGAAGGTGAAAGGGAAAGGTTGAGGTGAGCTGTTCCTCTAGAATGAGGGATGTCCTGCACCTGCCTGGCTTTTCGCATAAAAAAGTGTCCTTGCTGGTGGGGACAGGTATTTCAGTGCTGGTGATCAGGCTGCAATTTTGGTGCTTTGACACAGATGTCTGAAGGCATAAGGTATATTTTCAGTAACAACTCAGCATGGGGAGTTCTGTTTTCAGATTCTTTATTGGCATGTTTGCTCCSTCCTGTGCAGAGGAAGCATCCCAGGCCATGGAAATTTTCAGGCTATTGGGGGAAGGGAATGCCTCAGGATGAGGTACAGACTGGAGGATAAAGTTCATGACCCAATTTTTCCAGCTTTAACTGCTGGTGTGAAGTGATGCTGTCCTGCCGTGGGTCATGCTCCCTCCTGCTCATCCTGCCACAGGAGCTGCAGGTCCCAGCAAGGAAATGAACAGGCAGTTGCTGGACACAAYATGGTGGCATTGCAAGTCTAAGAACTGTTAAGGTTGGAAAAGACCTCCAAGATGATMGAGTCCAACCTTTGCACTGTTATTCTGCAACTTCCTGCACCCATCTGTCAGAGTCCATGGTTTCCCCAATAAATTTCTGAGAAATACCAAGTAACTGCATTCTTGAAAGCTGAAGAGAGTGAAAGCTTTGGTTTGGAGTGGGAAACCAGAGACCAGCCTCCAATTAAAATTATAAAGCTCAAGGACCTTCTACTTCTTACATTTGTAAGCYTTGATGTTTGCATACTCTATTTTTTATTTTCTCCATGTATATCCTCGTGATGTGCTGTTGATATAACTGGTTTGCAAGGCTAGAAACCAGCAGGCTACTCCTCCAAATCTKGGGAAGGATGCTTGAGTCTAGGTAGGATATTGAGGAACTTCTCTGTCTTGGAGGCCTCAGACTTTGAAGTCTGCCTTGGTTTGGACATTAGAAGGCAGCAGTGTTCACRTTATGGCAGCAGCACTCTGCATCCCTGAGTAATAACCAGCTCCCTGGAGCCTGCCAGCTCCCTGTGCACTGATCACAGCCTTTGGAAAGCCAGCCAAGTCTCCTTCCTTGGAAAGCCACACAGATGTGAGATGTAATAGCCCAGTAACTTGAGAGATGTTTGAACTGAGTTCTTTGATTAAAAGGATACTGTCRGATGCTGCCTCCCCCTCCATTATCTGGAGCACTGGCTTGGAAGCTTGAAACTCTCACGTCTGGCTCAGCCATTTTTTGTGTGTCCTTTTCCAGTTGGCACACTCAGGCTGAGAGAACCCAAGATGCTAAAGCAATATTTATACTCAAATGCATTTAATGAAAGGAGGCAATCTGCATGTGTGTGCTTTCTCAGAGGAGACTGGCGCTGTTCCCTTGTGTTTTCACAGGATAACTAGATTTTATTTCCCATGGCTGCAATATTATCTCTCATCTTCTCTGAAGGAAACAAGCATCACATCTTAGTATTTTGTTAGTCCAGGTGAAGAAAGCTTTGCCTGCAATTCCCACCCTGGATACTGGGCTTGGTTTAGAGGCTCTGAACTTTATATTCTTACTGCTGCTTTGGGGAATATTTTTTGTCTTGCACATGATAGTGATTAATGTTTGGCAGAAGTGCCTGCTGACTGTTTCCATGCACCCTGGTGATTATATGTTATCTTTTCCTAATTCAAATAGTTTTCATTTACTGTTGATGTTCTTCTCGCCTTCAAAGTTTTTCTTCTCCAAAGCCTGTTTTGGATACTTAAGCTTTTAATGGCATCTCTGATAACAAGCTGTTTCTGTGCAGAAATTCACACTCATCAAAAAACACGTGCAGAAGGAGTAGAGATGCTGCTGCTCAAGTCTCATTAGATGTGGCCTCAGTTTGACATCAATGTGTTCTAGCAGAGATAACCAACACTTGTTTCTTCTGGCTTGTACTCAAATCCCCAAAGCAACCTGTCAGCAAATGGTAAAAAAATAGTTACTGACTATTTCTTAATTGATTCTTGTAGGACTCGGACAGTTTTGAGCCTAAGAATTCAGAGACTGTGAAGAAGCCAAAGGCAACTGCTCCACAGATAAGCAAGAAACCCAAGAAGGAAACCAAAAAGAAGCGATAGAGGTGTGACTGATGAGCCTCCAAAGACCAAATAACCACCATAATCATGCTTCCTCAGAGACAACATCAAAGGCAACTAACTCTGTTCATGGTTTTCCGGCATTGCCATGTTTTAYTTTTCAGGGGCAAGGGAGAAGAAACTGAGAGGAGTGTAAGGGTTGGGGTTCTGCCATAGATTTCTTACAAGCAAAGAGAATTTCACATATCCAGGACTTCATTTGACATGATTAATGTGTCAGTCACCGTTAAAGTGACTTCTTCCAGTTCTGGTGGGTAGGGAGGGCTGTTGTCCTGGCTCCTCCATGCTGGTTGGGACTTGTAGTAAAGYCCTTGTGGAAAGTGGAGCATGGGTTTGCTGCTTTGGATACCAGTTTGTGTTGTGTWTTTTGAAGGCAGAGGGATCAAATGGATCAAGAATAACACACTGCACAGCTTTGTATTCATCTCTGTTGTCATCTAGTCTGAAGTACATAGCTGCATTTTATGGCTTAATCATAATGCCTTTGTCATATTCTTTAATTCTTAAGGTAATAACTCACCAGATTCCAGACTACTGGAGATGAAAGCTTTCATTTCCCCAGCGTCACTGCCTCTTGCTCCCCACCCATGTACTCTTCCTTTCTGTTCCCACCTTTGAAAGCAGGTACAGTTCAGGGAGCTGAGGCTGTGGTGGGGATTGCAATGACTGCAAGAATCAGGAAACAATTTGGCTCTAGAAGGTGCAGAATGTAATGCCTGTGCTTGTGAAGTTGTTGTTGGAAACTTGGGAACACCAAGCACTGCATTTGGAAAAGAGTTGCTGAGATGGGAGCATGGGCATGGTGCAGTGGTGGTGCAGTGCCAGCACTGCCTGGCAGTGCCATGGATAACCCTCCTGCCAACAGGCTGATCCCTGACCATGGGCCCTCTTTCAACACAGCTGGGCTTCATTGCACTTGCAAATTCCCTCCCAGCCTTCCCTGCCACAGTCTGCTCCATCTCCTCTGGCTGAATTCTTCCTGAGGGTGAATATGTTCTCAGCCTGAGGAGATGYGGTATTTTAAGATCCATGGGGTGGCAGGCTGGCTGTGTATCATGACTGCATGGCAGGAGACACAGACACTGTGTTCCTTCAGGCTCTGGCTCTCCAGGCCCAGGGATAATCCAGTGTTGGATTTAAATATGGCTAGACAGGACTGGAAGGAGATAGGTGGTGACGTAGCCACGGAGTCTCTGTAGGGCAGCTGGAGCTTCCTGATGCCAGCTCAGATCTTGGTTTGTTTGATCAGGAGTGAGTCAATGGGAGGAGAACCTGCTCTCTGAGGCGCACCCAGGGTTCAGAGTGGCTTTGAAGGAAGGGTTCTCTCTGGCAGAGCTGCAAGTCTGTGATCCTCTTTGCATACACGGAGTCCCATCCTCGAGTCACAAATGCCTTGTGAGCCCAGGTGTGTGTGCTTTAACAGGAGGTGAACAACACATTTACAGAAACCATCAGTGCTGAGAATAGCCAYGTTCTCTGCTCACTCCTGCCCTGGACKCGGTGCCAGGAGGTGACTAYGGTCCTGATCCTGGTCCCMMAGATGCTGACAGGGTGACAGATGGATTCTAGTACCAATGTGACTCTGACTTCCCTGCTCCAGGCTCTCTGCTTCCCTTAGCCAGAATGCTGACACCAAGTTGCACTTCTTAAAATCCAKCTTGGAGTTCTGCTTTGAATTCTGCTTCTTTTAATTTTTTTTAGCTACTTGAAGGCAATACCAGAAGGACAGAACAAAGCACAGGAGACATAAGCAYTCTAAAATTTCTTTAAGTTCTTCAGTACAAAGAAATACTATAAGAAGTTCCCACRCAAATAACAAAGAACAGTGTTGTGCCATCAGTTTCCATCATGRATCTGTGCTCTGTCTCTGATCTGCACGGCAAAGAAAAGCCCTGAGTAGGTACTGCAGATCACTTTTTCCATTTTAATATGTGAGGATGGTTTCCTGTAAATTCCAGCTTTSTGCAGGTTACCTAAAGCAGGGGGTTAATGCTGTAATGGAATCACAGCACACAYGTTATCCAAAATACAGAGTCACTTCCACAGCTCAGAACCAGTTAGCAGTGGGCATTGTGTGGCTGTTACCTGAAATAGCAGCTACTACATCAATGTCTACATCCAGCTGTTTGTAGGCAGGCTCACTCATTGCTCAGTAGAAATCATGGATATTGGGGTATGGTTTTGTTGGGGGGAAGAGGGATGAAAATAAATTCCCCAGTCTGTTCCTGACATTTGAATTCCTATTTGARTGCTCTTGTTTGCTGAACTTAGAGTATGTAGAGATTACCAATAACCCATGTATATTAGTTTCTCTTGAAATGTGTAATAAATCCTGTCAGAATCTTTGTTTAAAAAGAAATCTGTGTTTAAAGTCGTGTTGCCTATTCCCTCACACACACTGTGAAAAAGTGCCAGAACTCCCAGACTATAGGAACACAGGAACATAAATAACCTATTCATTAAAATGATCCATTGAGGGAAATCCTTTCAGATCCTTTAATCTGTGAGAAATTGGTTAGTTAATACTGTCAGGCATGTATGCATCTGTATCTGTGTCTGACTTGGAAGTGGCAAACTATCTCCCAACACAGCTGCACCTTCCTGGAAGGAAGGAGGAAACCACCCAGTGACTAAAACCAGTTTGCTTCCCATGGGAGGTTTTGGGTTCCAAGAGCCCCCATGAAGGTAGCCATARTAAAGGCATCATTTGTTAATAATGCAAGCAGGGGATTAGATGGGGATTCAGCAGGCTGGTAGCAGCGATTTTCAGGAGCCCCTCTGTGTGTGGCTRGAGCTTAGGTTTGCATGGCTGGAGCGTGGGGCTGTCTGGTTGCTCTTCTTGGCTGCAGTGAGACTGGCATGGTAGCCAAGCTCTGGCAAGTGTTTRTTGGTTCMTGGTAGCCAAGCTCTGGCAAGYGTCTGCTGGTTCTCTCACCAGAAAAACAAAACAGAGAGAAGGATTAGTGTGGCGACTCCTTTAATTCCCAAGCACTTTTCTCCAGGCTGTTTTGTAATTAACATCCCAAAGGGAGCTGRAGACCTCATTAAGTCAATTTTATTGAAGGGGAGGTTTTCAAAGGTCTGTCTCCAGGTACCTGCCAGTAGGCAGCACCTCTGCAGCCACACCTTGCTCTGCCAYCCAAAGCCAGGAGCTGGCTGAGGGCTGGATTTCCTCTGCCAATGTGTGTCAGGAAGTTCCTGTCCCTCAGCAGGAGATGCCTCAGCTCTGAAGAAACATGGCTGGGAGTTGGGAGTTCTTTCCTCAGTTTTAAATCATGTTCAAGCAGTCTGCCTCTCTGGCCAGGCTCATCTCCTGTGGCCTGGCTGTCCCCTGGAGCTGTCCCACTCTCACAATGCATCCTTGTGCTCCCCCAGTGCCAGCAGCACAATCCCTTGAGACGGGCTAATAAGTAGCTCGTGACTGGAGTTCCAGTTCACATAGTTCAATTAAATCCCTGTTAATCTCGTTCAGACCTAATTTACTTTCATTCTCATACACACGCCTCTGCTGCAGAGAGATTCTGGTGAGGTTCCCCGCAGACAGGACTGAAGAGCCCGAGGCCATCAGCCCCATCAGGCACTGATGTTTGCAGAGCAGCCCCCTTGTCGAGTCAATAAACTCAGATTAGCTCCCAGCCTGTCATGAAGAATGAAAATACTCCTTCAGTGCCTGGGTTTGGGGAGGGTCAGGCTATCTGGCAATGCTTGAGGAGATGATGAGGAAGCTGTAGGAGGGGAGGACCCACTCAGTAACTGTTTCCCAGGGCATGGCTCAGCCATCCCCCTGTGTGAGTGTTAATTTTTGGACAGCTGGGAGCTGGGGTGCTGGATTTCTCCCCTGGGAGCATCTCTTCCACACGGATACTTCTTTCAGGCAGAAGTTGTGTTGTTCACAGCCTGTGGCCTGCAGGGATTGAGATGACTGTATTGATTTAGTTGTTTGTTTATTAATCTCATGAGGCACTGCAATGAGAAAATGGGATGATGAATGGAGAGTGCTGGAGTACAGAGCATTGCTGTGTGTTTGATGATTAACTTGACTGCTGGCCTTGGCACTGGTAGGGGATGTGTCCCTCCTCGTCCTCATGCACCCATGAGGGATGATTTTGTTGGGACACATTCCCTTTCTTCCTGGCCACAGACATGGGCTGTAATCTGTGTTTGCRTTCCTCCTCCAGTTGACAGTCACTGCAGGTCCAAGGTCCAGCTCTTCTCTGKCAGTTGGTGGCTTTTGAGCAGTGATTTGTGGGTTTTTTTCTGGCTTTTGGTACCCAGGCCAGTGTGCAGTTGCTGCTCCAAATGGCTCTTGCTTGGGACTGACAATTGCAGGGCAATGAAATCGGCTTCCTGCCTCTCCCTTGAAATTCAGCTGATTTTCCCATTCCATTATGATTCTTCCCAATTTGTGKCTTTTCTGACACCATAAATCACTCCCATGCCCCCTCTTGCTGCTTCCAGCCTGCACACTCAGTCCCCTGCAGTCGTTCTGTCCTTGCAGACAGTGCCAGTGGGCGTCACCTGCTGTTCTCAAGGACTGATGAAAAGAAGGAACAGGTGGAGGAGCACCCAGGATTGAGAAAGGTGTCCCTTTCTAATGTTTGGTAATGATTTTTTGAGCCAGCAGATGTAACTGCTGGGGAAGGAATTTTCCCTGCCGTGGGAGCCCTAGGTACACCSAGGCAGCTGTGCCAAACACATCATCCCCTGAGCTGTGAGGAGCCAAACCCATCCCACAGCACACTTCCAAACTCATGATAAGTGAGTGCTGTGGTGCTGCGTGTGCTCCCCAACACCTGCTCACATCCTGCTCCTCACCAGCACACACAAGAGTTGTCTTGTGCAATYCCAAACCTCTCACAGTGCTCACTTCCCTCTTTGCAGCTCCCCTGGTTTCCTTTGCTGCCTGGAAGCCCTGGCGTGGCTCTGATGCCCCTTGCACCCTGCTTGTCACCCCTGGGAAACCACAGCCCAGGTGAGGACTCGATGCAGAGCAGGAGGTGGGAGCACAGAGGCTGACGGGCTCCTCCATGGTTTCAGTCCAGCCTTTCTGGCTGTGGCTACAAGACAAACCTGCTTTGGGTCACATCTGCTCTGCTTTTAAAAACATCTGTTGCCTGGTTAATGTCTCTGTGGTATGTGAAGATCTCAGCTCCCAAATGGGGGAGCTGTGGGTGGAAGGGTTGAAGGGCTCTCACTTCTCCCTATCTCCAGCTCCAGGCAAGGAGCTGTGTCCCTAGCACTGTGCTCTGCAGGAAGCCCTATCTGCACAGCATTCCCTTTTTGTGAAACCTGCACTCTGGACATCTCTGTGTTTCTTGCCAGAGGCTGTCCCAGCTGTGTCAAGTTCASCGAGTCCCAGTGCATGGACTGGGGCCATGGAGGCATCAGCAATGGCCTGAGACATCTCATGTCTTGCCCAAGCTACAACCCAGGTGTTCCTGGCTCCAAGGCTTGTCCCTGCTGCCTTCCCTTTGGCTGCTGCTTGCAAAAGCCATCCCAAGCTTATAAATTCACCTTGCCATGAGCCAAAGTCCAGAGCACGACAGGCACCGCTGAGCTCTCATGGCTCCAGGAATCAGCTCCAGACATTTCCTGCTGTTATATGTGCCTCAACTCTGGCAGCAGAGGCAGGAGCCATGCTGGAGCTGTGCTGCTGGTGTGGAGYTTGTGGGGTCACATTCCTCTGGATCCCCGAGGGCAGCTCCTGTCCATGGCTGGGTGTGCCCACGCTGTAGCCAAAGGCTGGACTGCTGGGGTCTGTGCAGGAGAGGGTCCTCACCGCCGTGGCTCCCACGGAGCAGCTGCTTGTG